AAGAATCAATGTTTTTACAAATTAAGTTTGGATCAGATCCTCTGGAATAGCATCACTGTTGTGTCACTCTAAGTTAAGGAAAGAGCTTTAAAGGTGGGGACTTAATAGCAGACTTGGAGAGGCAGAACAGCTTGCTTCCAGAAGTTGTGAATGCCCAACACTGAAGTCTTTAAAAAGCTGTTAGGTAGCCATTTGTCTGAAATGGTATAGGGTTTCCTTCCTAGGCAGGGGGTTGGACTAGAAGACCTCCAAGGTCCCTTCCAACTCTGCTATTGTATTGAATGTAATAAAAGGAGGCCTGAAAAACCAATCTGGAAGCCAAACTAGGGGCCGGGGACAAAATGACAATAGAACTAAAAGAAAGAGAAGAACCTGATTTCTATAAAATATGGAATAAAATGTATAAGTGGCTAGAAAACAGAAGCCAAAACAGAAAATAGAGAATGTAAATATCATGGTGATATGAATAACCAATATTATTATAAGTGTTAGCACTAATGTTGTCATATTATTGTTGTCATCAACCGGAAGGCAATACAGAATTGAGAATTATAAAGGCTAAACATGAAATCCGATACAGAAGGCTGAATAATTTACTTTATGTTGCTCTGTATGTTTCGCTTTTGGTTGTTTTCTTGTTGTGTTTTTCTTCCTGTTTTTAAAGATTAAAATGTTTAATAAAAACTGTTTTTTAAAAAAATGGGGGCTGGTGGGGCAGGGTGCATGCGTGAGGGCTCAGGGCGCATGGGCAGGGAATGTGCCCGCCAGGGCGGAGCGTATGCACAGGTGGCACTCCCATCGCATTTTGGAGATTGGGGCACTTGGCACCAAAAAGCTGAACCGTCACTGGTATAGGGGCTAGGCTAGAGGACCTCTGGAGTTCCTTCCCGCTCTATTCTGATTCTTTCTCATCCCTTGCTTCTCCTCCTGTCCTCTTTGGAGAACCGTGGAAGGAAAACTGGGCCGGGGTGCGAGGTTCTGCTCCATCAGCCTTTTTTCCCCTCTTGCTTTCCAGAGGTAGCCGATAAGATCTACAATTTGTACAACGGCTACACCAGCGGGAAGGAGCAGCAAACGGCCTACAACACCCTGATGGAAGTCTCCGCCTCCATGCTCTCCCGGGTCCAGCATCACTACAACTCCCACTATGAGAAATTTGGGGACTTCGTCTGGCGTAGCGAAGATGAGCTCGGGCCCAGGTAATCCTTTTCGCCGCGTCCTGATTCCTGCTCTCTTCCTTGCCGTTATTAGGACTAGCTAACCCGCCAACCGGGGTAAGTGAGCTTTTGGCCTTTCCACCCCTCACAATGGATCGGGAATTCGAATCGCTTGGGGGGAGGGTGTTTCAGAAAACCCCTTCCCTCTGGAGTTGGGTTGTCTTCTTCTGGCAGATGTTTCATTCTCCAACTAAGGGTACATCATCATCATTTTGGGGGGAGGTTGGGTGTGGTGTTTTGGGGACTGTTATGGGTGTTGCGACTGGTCTCTGGGTGTGACGTGAATTTCATTGTATGTGTGAGTGTACAATGACAAATAAAGTGTGTGTGTGTGTGTGTGTGTGTGTATGTTACCTAGTTGGGTAATGAAATGTCTGCAAGAAACTCACAAAGC